AATAAATAAACAAACAAATAAATAAATAAAGTGAGAACCAGAAATGGCTTCACAAAAAACTCTGTAAGAATTGCACATGGGACTCCTTTCATTCTCTCTCACTAGACTGGTGGGGAGGGGGGAGGGGACCAGAGGAGTTGGGGCAAGAGGCTGAAATACAGAGAGCTGCTTAGGGAAGGGGACAGAGCCCCCAACAGTTGCAGGACACTTCCTTCCCTCATCACCTTCCCTTATGTCTCCTCAGCTGTATCGCTGGAGAAGCTGGGCGGTGGTGACCTTGAGCCTCACCCCTGCCTCTTGACCAGGGCTTGCTTCAGTGTGCGCTGGCTAACACGAGGGCAGGATATCCGCAGAGAGGGAAGACAGGGTGACAGCACCCCACATCCAGCCAGATAACTTTGATTTGGTTGGGAAACACTGTGAGAAAAAAATTTTACTTTTATCTTCTTCCACAGTAGATCCTCGAGACATGGGCCTCTCCACTGGCCATTGTGAGTGGTTGAACTGGACACTTCTTTCCATAACATGGGAACAAACACACAGGAAGTCAAAACATGTCATTAAGCCCCTGTGCTTACACTCTCCCCAGACCAGAGCCATATCTTCAAAATCAGAACTGGCCTGGACTCTATCTGCAAGTTTTTAGCTCCCCTGGCGCTGAAAGAGGTCCTTCTAAAACCAGGTTGCCCTTTCTCTTGGTCTCTTTGCTAAACTGCTTCTAACTCTTAGATGATGATATTTCAATTCTTCGGGTTCTGTAGGGATGGAGAGGCCGTCATCTTCCTTAGCAACAGGTATGATTCTGGTGTGATGAGGCTAAAACGCTGACTGTCAGCGTTCTTTATGCCTAATTCAACTTCTTGTTCTATTCCATGGCCTTTAGGAGGGATGGGCCTCTGTAAAACAACCATCACCCTTTTGACGACTTCCAAACTCCTCCTCTTCAGGTGCTTATTTCTCGGAAAGCCACTGCTTTGGCAGAGAGGCACACTTCTCCCCTGGCGGCCGGACTGTGCCCAGTGCAGGCTCAGCAGGATTCCCGAGGAGATGGCTGTGTGCAAGTGACAGGCAGCTTCACTCCAAACAAGCTCCTGAAATTTGAGAGCAGGGCCCAGAGGAGAATAGGACTGAGTAAGGAAGTCTTGTTCCTTTGTCCTTGGATTGCCCAGTAGAGGGCTGTCTATCAGACTATAAGCTGAGGAAGGGACTGGAACTAATAGCTTCTGAAGCAAAGCAGAGAAAAATTCATGAATCAAGCCAAAATCTAGGGGGAAAGTCTTCTCTTTTTACCTCAAGACCCAAAAGAATCTTCTAGAAACAGGCAGAAAGGAGACAGCTGGAAACCCCTCTGCTTACCGTAGCCATGCACACGAATGATCGGTAACAGACCAAGGTCTGGATATGAAAGAGGCTGGGCTCTTCGGAAGAAAATACAAACGAAGTTCACCAAAACCCAGGACTTAAGCTGAACTTCTCCAAGTCCTCTGGTCCTCACTCAGCACGGTCTGCTTTTCTCCTGCCGCCCCAAGGTTTTCAGAAGACTCGACCACTTTGCTTTTCAAGGTCATGGGGAAAGTTCTACATCACCCAGTATACAGTGGATGAGGCTCATTGATTTCACAACTGATTTTATTAGTCTGTGATGATGACAGGCATCACATGTCCATCCTGCACGAGTCCAGCATGAGGTCAGGTTCAGAAAGACACTCGACTGGGCGCTGTCAGCGGAAGCTCCTTTCCTTCACAGCCGCACCGGGCAAAGTGCCCTGGCCACAGCTGACACTGTTCTATGGAGCAGGGAGCACGGCTAGCTGGTCTTCTGGACAGAGTTGACTATAAAGGAGAAGGGAGCCTTTGGGTGTAAGTGGTGAAAAACAAGGGGGCCGTACTTAGGCAGGACTCTAGGAGTAGCTGGAACAAGCCAGCCTGTAGCCCATGCTGCTGGCCAATGAGATGTGGCAATGCCGATGAAAAGTCCAAAAGGAAAAAAAATAGAACTCAGCATGAAACGTGTGTGTGTGTGTGTGTGTGTGTGTGTGTGTGTGTGTGTGGTAATTAAGATTCCAAATTTTATCTAGGGATCAAGTGTACAGCAAGAACCAGATATTAATCCAAAAGGGCTCCCCTCTCTATCATAACTAACATCTTAGTGGCACAGTGGCAGGCATTTTGGGAAACCAGACAAAGGGTAACCCCTAAACCTAGTGTCTAGAAGACCTTGATGGCACCGAGAAGGAGCCAAGAAAGCTTGGATGAGTTGGGCTCAGAGAAACAGGAAGAAATGCTTTTGTTAGTTTCTGGCCCATTTCTCCACATTTTCATGAATCAGTTCATGAAAACAAAACTCATCTTCACTGAGGAATGGACTTCCCCAATTTAAATTTCTAGTTTGCTTATATAAGTGCCAAGAAAGGCTGAGAGTACATGGGTCTGGGAGAGATCCGGTGGGTAAAATCCAGATGAACGGCTGGGTCCTGTTTCCCCCAAGTGAGTCCCTTTTTGACCATCACTGCTGACATCTATTCAAAGGGCAGCATCAGTAGGGTGATGCAAACTGGCATAAGAGAAGCTCCCACAAAATCTCTGGTTCCACTACCCCTGTGAGCCCCTGATGCTGTGTCTCTTGTCCTGGTCTCCTCCACAGCTGCCCACACACCACGGGAGTCTGCGGGAAGTCCTGCCCCAGAGTGAAGGAAAGATGGAGAGATGAGCAAGACAGAGCTGACTTTTGGATGGACAAGCATTTTACCTGGTTGTCTCTTTCTAGCCCCTGCTGTCTGAGTTTGGGTAGAGCAGTTGCCAGAGCCAGGATGTCCTTCCCCTCCTGCCAGCCCAATTCTCCTCCTATCCTCTTGGTCAGTGTATACTTTCCTGAAAAACCACTGAGCAAAACTTGTGCCGTGGGAGTGAAGAGAAAAGTCAGCCATCTCTTCTCTCCTCCAGGGGACGTAGAGGCTAGCGCAGTGAGGAGAGAAGCCGGTCAGAATGCCTCACGACCCCTCACAGTAAGGGCTGTCCCTAGAGAAATACCCAAACAGAGAACTGGTGCAGAGTAGATGGAGTGATGATTGGAGTGAGCTATGGCCTGGTCTCTCAAATGAGATGTAGTACAAATATGTCTGTCATAGTTTTGGGAAAATTGAGGGAAACAGAAGCAAACACAAGATATGCAAAACAGTAATGTCAAACCTGTCGGTGGGTAGCAGAATAATGATTTACACTGGTGATACCCTTGCTCATTGTACAAATTAAAAAAAAAAAAAGCCTCCCTTCCCCCAACCACATATAGAAAAGCACTTAAGAGTTCAAAGGTAAAGCTTGTCACACTCCAAATACAAAATGATTTACTTACATGCAGCAAAATATACAAGAGGTGAATTCAAAAACAAACTTAATTCATTATATTCGCTTGGCACAATTGCAATTCAATTTTAAAAAAATAATTGTAAAATACTGAAACTGACCTGAATTCAAGTATAACGGTTTCTTCAACAGAAACATTATCAATGCAATAAAACATTACACGGAATATATAGAAGCAAAACACCTTCTTGAGTTTTTCTTAAATTTCTGTGTTTTTTAAAATACAGTTTTAATGCCAACAAGACTCACAATTGTATTTTTAAAATGAATATTATTGCATTGTTTTTGCATATCTTGTGGGACAGAAAATGCAAAGTTACTGATTCCTGTTTCAGAAGCAGAGACAGTGATTTGTTTTTGCTCTCAAATGGCCCTGGATTCAGATCCCCCCAGTTAACCCAGAAATGGGGCGCTGCACACTCACTGGGCGCAGGGCCCCCGCGTGGGCGCACGTACACACGGCCGACACACGCAAACAGACAACCCACTACATGCGGATCACACTCAGAGATTCTCGAACACGCTTCCTCTCTTCCAGCCACCCATACACCCAGCGTGGGAGAGAACCCCTCAGTCACCCATCTGTGCAAGCCCCTGTGAAGTGCATTGCTGATTACCTTTAAATTATAAAACCAATCGAAAACCATGTTTACTACCTATGGAAACCATACAAATTACTGGGCATACACAACGTCTGGTAAAGCTCTCCCACAGGGCTGCAAGGACCCTCTGTAGGAAAAGGAAACCACACCCGTTTAATAACAGGATCAAACTGAACCCGATTTACATTTGCAAGAGTGAAAACAGTAAGGTGGTGGCTACTGAACTTCGTCAACACTCCTCTTCCCCCCTCCTCCTGGGAAAATAAAATAAAAAACCCCAAAACAACAAAATGAAAATTGCAACATGCTGTCAAGAGAAATGTCAAACCACAGAACAAAGGAGCGCTCAGCAGAACCCAGCTCCTCCTCGCGTTGTCCAGTGCTGGCTGCCCCTTCCTGCGGCTGCGCCGCTCCCCTCACCACCTCCGCTGCAGGCTGGCTGGCTGCGGGCTGGGCTGCTGGGCTGGGGCTGGGGGCCAGTGAGGGGATGGTGATCCTGACGTAGGCGGGCAGCAGGCAGCTGGAGGTGGGGGTGGGGCAGCTGCCTCTTGGCCAAGCGCCCTCCCTCCTGGCTCCCAGCTCCTGGCCTCCTGCTGCCTGCTCTTCCCTCTCTGGTGGGGGTCGGGGATGGGAGTCATGCCTGCCTCCTTCTGCAGATCCACAGGGCCCTGGCTCTATGGGGACAGTGAGGCTCGTACACAATATGTGCAAAATGATTTTTGTACAAGCAAAGTTGAAAGACACCCGTTTGACAAAGGTCCTTTTCGGTGGGGGCTATCACAGGAAGCTGAGGGTCTCTTTTGTGCCCAAGGTGAAGGCTGGTTCCTGGCACAGGGCTTGCAAAACCACAGGAGAGCAGGCGGCCTTCTCTCGCTCCCTCCCTGACCCTTCCTCCTCCTCCTCCTCCTCCTCCTCCTCCTCCTCCTCCTCCTCCTCCTCCTCCTCCTCACCACGCTACCCCCTTGGACACAAACTGGGGTTGCTGCTTTTCTTCCCCCCAAAAAGCTGACTCTCCACACCACCCAACTCTGTGTCTTGTCCCAACGAAATGAATGAAGACGCTGTTCCGTTAACTCCAGGTCACGAGAACAGTGAGGCACTTCTGAAACGAACCCTTTAGGAACATTGAGACAAATAAAAAACCCATCATCTCCCAGCCCAGCTCCTACAGGCTGCTGACGTAGGCTCTGCTGTCCTGCAGCTCCTCCTCGCTCCTCTGAGGCTCCTGGCTGGGCCCACAGGGCCCGGGCTCCTCGCCCCCTGCTCTGTCCTGCCCCTGGTCCCTGCAGTTAACAAAAGGTAATAGGGTGCCGTTGGGGCTCTGCTGGGCGCCCCCACTGAGGATGTTGTCTGCAGCGTTCTCCATCTCCTCGATGGTCATGTCGCAGGCGTCAGCCAGCTCCTGGGTTGTGACCTCGATAAACTTGGGATCTTGGGCAAACTGCCCCAGTCCTTCCGAAATCAAGACCTGAAGGGGGGAGGGCCATGAGGAAAAACCAAAGAGGAACATTATTCCTGCAGCTCAACTCTTCTGTTTAGGGTTAGAGCAAAGGACTTCTGACTAGAAACTTCAGGAGTGTGTGCGTGCATGTGTGAGTGCGTGAGTGTGTGGTGGGTGCGCAGAGGAAAGGAGTGAGATTCAGGATGTACAGGCTGGCGGAGAGAGCTTTGGGCTGGGGAACTCAACAACTGTTACAAATACATGAAAACCTGGCTCACTGAGGGGCTGCAGGGAGTAGTCTCACAGCAGAGGGTTCTACCCTCTGCCCTTGTCTTTTCTCCTCCCTGGCGTCCCATATCATTCTCTCCGAGAAACCTTCATTCTCTTCTGGTGAAACTGTTTTGCCCACTGCCCGTCGCCTGTCTGTGGTGCGGATCCTGAGTAAGGACTGTGCCAGCTCCGCGCTTGCCCCTGCCTCCTCTTCTGCCTCTGCTGGGAAGGGCCAGCGGGCAAAGCCAAAGCTCCTCCCCCCTCCCTAGAGGCTGCTTCAGTGATCGGTGTGGGGAGTCACCCGTGGGCCAGTGGGCAGGGGAAGCAGTGGAGGGAAGCACGGAACACTTTTCTCCAAGTTCTGTTAGCCCTGCTCCCCCATTACTCTTTATCTTGCGTAATGTTTCTTCATCGCTCCACCCTTCCCAGCATGCTTATTATCTGTCTTTCCTCACCACCATGTGAGCTCATCAGAGCAGAAACCCTATTCCTTAGAGGTGGCCCCCCTAGAACACAGTCTACACATGGCAGGTGCTCAGCGGAGATGTGTGGCCTGAATAAGAGGCAACAAAGCCCCTGGAAGCACAGGGCTTTAGAGGTAGAAGGCACTTGGGAAGTCATCTGGTTTCGTTCCCCACCTCCTGCGACAGCCTGATGACTGGACAGGCATCGTCTCTGCTTGCACATGTCAAGTGATGAGGCTCCCTGTTTCACAGGAAAGCCCTCATTTTGGAAAGATCGCCTTGTGTTAGCTACAGTCTGCCTGTCAGGTTGGTCCAGTGCGCCAGCCCTGCATTGAAGACCTCTTGTCCAGGACCCAGAAGCCTTACAGGATGGAGACGCATGTCATGGCTTCTTTATTTTAGTCCTCACCCCAGGATATGTTTTTATTTTTAGAGTGAGTGGAAGGGAGGGAGAGAGAGAGAGAGAAACATTGATATGAAAGAGAAGCATCAATTGATTGCCTCCCATATGCACCCTGACCGGGGAGTGAACCCACAACCCTCTGGTGTATGGGACGACGCACCAACTGGCCAGCGCGGCATATCACGGCTTCGTTAGTCGTCACCACCTCTCTAGGTTTACTTTCTGAATTCCTTCAACCCGTTCTCATACAAAGTGGTTCCTAGGAACCTTGCCAACCCAGTCATCCTCCTTTGGGACTGTTCCAATTTGCCAGAGGTGCCCTGAGATACGGTGCCAGGGGAGCAATTGGTGGTCTGACCAGGGCAGAGCAGGGTGGGCCTGAAGGTGCTCTTGTTCTAGACTAGAGGCTCTCAACCCTGGCTGGGAATTAGAATCATCTAAAGAGTTTTTAAAAACACCCATTTACTTGGTCATAGGTTTCCAACCCCTGCAGGTTATTCTATGAGCGAGTGACCAGGCTCGGGAGTCAGACCTGACTCTGTGCACACAGGCAGCCCGCTGACAGCCAGGCGGACAGCACGCCCGGTGTGTGGTGAAGCCCCGCAGCTTTCTCCGCTTCACTGGCCTGTGGTAGGGATGTGTGCTGTTTCTCCCTCCCCCTGAGTCAGCCCAGCCCCAACAGAAGTCCAGAACTGCCTGCCTGCCACGCCGTCCTGCTGCCGGCTCTGGCTGTGAGGGCCTTTCAGGCCAGGAGACTGACACCCGGTCCACTTGGGAGAGAGCCGGGTACCCCTTCGTGATCTCCATGCAAAGTGCCTTCTGCCTCGGGCCTTTCCTCCCCGTCTGCCGTGCTCGGGTCACTTACTGCTTCCACCAGACTGCTGGCACTGCCGTGGAACTGCCTGCCCCAGGCCCCGGCCTGGCTGGGCACAGTGAGGGACACCGGCCGGGCTCTCCGCGGGGCGCTGCTGCCCCCCTCGCAGGGTGTGGGCTCCCCCGCCCAGGAGCTGCAGTGGACGGATGGGAAGCTGCTGTTGAGTTTCTCGGTGGACTCAGTTCCTTCCAGCCGAAGGGTGGGGATGGGCTGCGGGGGCCAGCCTCGGCTGCTGGGCGTGGCCGGCGGCGTGGCACACGGCCGGGGGAACGTGGTGGGAGAATGGCTTCTCTGGAGGAGGGGGCTCAGGCCCGCCACTGCCAATGCCTGTGGACACACAAGGAGCACGGGTTACGGGAATGGTCAGGCCGGAGGCAGGCCTCTCGGCAGTGACTGCTTCCAGCTGGTCCCAGCTGCCTGGAGCTCATACACCACATGTCACCCGTCTGAATCCTCCCTCATCAAGACCCAGTGTACACTGCACCCGTCCTAAAACGCATTTCCTGATGATCTCAGTCTGAAGTAACCCTGTCTCCTCTAAATTCCAAAAGTTATGACAGACTGGAGTCAGGGTCACCTGCCCATCAGCACTGGCCCTGCCCCATCAGCTGCGAATTCTCCCCCTTTGGCTTCCTTGTCAGTTGACTGGAGAGGATGTGCCTGGGTCACCTGTACAACCACACACAGTGCCCACTGTCTCCCTGCCCTTCGGGCTGAGCTGATGTGAGGTCCAAGTGAAGGAGGGTCTGCGCAAAAGCACACGGTGCGTCCAAAGAGCTAGACAAAACCAGGGCTTACTTTTCAGTTTTTACAGTTAATCTGGCTGTTAATGATGTCTTGCCAATCTCTAGCTCACCTTGTTTTTGAACTACTGTTCAGATCTCACACTGTATTGTGATTGAACTATTTACACGCTGTGCCCTCTGCCCCCCTGGTGCATGAGTGCCCTGAGGGCGGGTTGTGGTCCCCAGGTGACCTGCCGCAATGCCTGCTCTGATGCGCTGCATCCACGGGGCAGTGGCAGTGTGGGGAGAGCCCAGCCCGAGAGGCAGAGAGAAGGGGGCACTGCCATGTGGGTGGGAGGTAGTAGAAAGGCATAAAGGGAGAATGTAAGTGAAGAGCAGTTACTTGCCTTCCAGAATGATCGAACAGATGAGTGAAATAAACTTCCAGAAACCCTTGAAACTATGACATACAGTGTCCCCCCAGCCTGCCAGCCTTCCCTGGCCACTGCTCTTGATGGTCCCCAGCCTGGGCCCTTGGGCCCTGGAGGTAGTATGCATGCGGGCAATGCCACGCAGAATAAGCAAAACAGTGCATTTCTTTAAGCTGAAATAGTGTCAACTTAGCCAAGTCACACTGGCCATCTTATCTATTTATATAAAAGCCAAGCGACCAAACGAACGATCAGTCACTATGATGCATACTTCAGCAGCCAACCAGCCTCAATCGGCCCCCCCCCCCAACCTCCTGCGGCCCCTTCCCCCAGCCAACCCAGCCCCTGATCGGTCCCCACCACCATGATCGGGGGCAGGGCCAGCCAGCCAACCTCCTGCGTCCCCTGCCCCCACTGGCCCAGGCCCGACTGGCCCCTATCAGGGATGGACAGACGGATCCCACCCCTGCACGAGTTTGTGCACTGGGCCTCTAGTCTATATAATAAAGCCTAAGCAACCGAACGACCAGAACGACTGGTTGCTATGATGCGCACTGACCACCAGGGGGCAGATGCTCAATGGAGGAGCTGTCCCTTGGTGGTCAGTGCGCTCCCATGGGGGAACACCGCTCAGCCAGAAGCTGGGCTCATGGCTGGTTAGTGCAGCGGCAGTGGCGGGAGCCTCTCCCGCCTCCGTGGCAGCACTAAGGAGCAGCGAGCTGAGTGGTAAGGAGCAGCAAGTAGGTGGGCGGTAAGGAGTGAGGGGTCCCAGACTGCAAGAGGGCGCAGGCCAGGCTGAGGGACCTCCCCCCGCAGCGCACAAATTTCGTGGGCCTCTAGTGCAGATCATAAACTTTAATCAGCCGTTGAATGCCTTTGTAAAAAAAAAAAAAAGGGAAAACATATGCCTGTGGTAAGGGAGTGCATAATTAAAGAGGTAAAAGTTTAGGAAACTCTAGGTTACAGCCTAATTTTTCTGGAGGTAAGAGACTGCCTTAGATAATTCTTTGAGGACTCCATTAGTTCTGAGATACTAAGAGCATTTTTGATGCTCTTTGGATTTTACACCGCAGAGCCATCCGTGCTAAAAGAAAAAGGTCAACAGTCAACTCTCCCTGGACCATTTTCCTGGGATATCACTCCCTACTCCTGACCAGCTGTCCCTTGGTGATCAGTGCGCTTGGTAGACAGCTGGCTGGTTCTCCGATCATTTCTGTATTTCAGTGGATGGATTTTTGTGCCGCTCAATTTCCAGGTGTTTTGCAACTATAGGTAGAACTACATCTGCTTGAGTGCCCTATGGTGTAAGCTAATGTCTTGGGGGTGAGGGTGGGGGTGGGGGACACCTGTGCCACTGTAAGAAGAAAGCTCAGGTGGATCCTGGGACCATGTGGGGGGCTCCTGCTCACCAGTATTTCCTAGGTCTCCACCTTGGGAAATGACAGGCTTTGTTAAGGCTCCCGTTTGGGTAGAAAAAGCCCCTCCCCTGGGGCCTGCTAGGCCAGGGGTGGGGGTGCAGCAGTGGTCTGAGACAGGGAAGATTGGTGTCTTGGGGACTTTGTCTAGCCTACTGGGGGGTGGCCAGTGGCCTGTCCAAAGTGTGAGCTACCTGGTGATGAACCAGATGCAAGGGCAGGACTGTCTTCTGAGAGATGTCTCCCCCTTGATTCTTCTGTCGCTTCAGACATTCGAGGTGGAAGGAGGCCCTCCGACCTGCAAAGGAGCCAAAGAACCGGCATCAGAGCCAGGAAAGGAGACGGGGTCTGTGCCGATTCGGGCCAGGGAGGGAAGAGGTCTGGATACACCTCCACTTTACCCTTCATCTTTCTCTGACACATACCATGCAGCTTAAGTCCAAGCCCGATGCCAACAAGCCCTGCCCTTGGATTCCCTCTCCCTGCTTTGGAAATCTGCCCAGCCCACTGTGTGGGGTTGTTAGAGCCAGGCCGCCATGGTTTCTGTCACCCTGAGTGCCTGACCAGTCATCTGAGGTGCCCACTGGCTGACACATCTGAGAGCGAGGTGCGGGCTTACCCAGGGAGGCCGAGCGGAGGAAGCCCCTCTTTGGAGATTGCCGGGTGTCCCTCCTGTCCTCTGGCGGTGCCAACTGTCGGCTTTCCTCATCCTGGTAGGAGAGCCTGGAACAGAGAACTCCTGGGGCTTGCTCCTGGAGGCTGAGACATGCACCCCACAGGGACAGCTGCCACCCCAGAAGGCAGTTTCCTTTGCCTCTCAGGGAAGGGAGCCCCCACTTTGTGCTCCCAGGAAGGTTTGGGAAGGGGCAGCAGGGATGCTCTGAGCCCCGCACCTCTGATCAGAGGCAGTGAGGGTGCTCTTGGGTCAAAGTTGTCGAGAAAATTGGGAAAAAATTCTAGGCCCACAAGGTTCTTTCCAGGCATGGCCCGGGCTCCTCTCGTCCACATGCTGATGCTCTTTACCAGGACTAGTCCCCACTTCACCCCAACTCCCCACCCCTTTCTCCCTGGCCTGCCCTCCCCTGCATCAGCATGGGCTCCACACAATCACTCCTTGCACAGCAGAGCTGTCACAAACCCAGGACATCAAGTCAGTGGTTCCTAAGCCTTTCTGATGGGACTCACAGGTACACACACACACACACACACACGACTGAACTAAACATCATGAACCACACTCACCATCATGCTCCGCACTCTGACACTTTCCATTCTACTTTAGTCCATTCTATTTCTTTTAAAATGTCAGTTGCAGTCCACTAAGTTGACTTTACTACCCCTGGTGGACACAGCTGTCGCTCTGAGGTTGCATTCCAACCCCGTCCTTTTACAGAGGAGGCCACCGGCTCTGCTCCCCTGGGGCTCGCGTCCTCAGAGGGCGGAGACCAAGTGCCTTTCTGCTCCTGGCCCCTGACGTCCAGCATCTGCAGATGTTCAGGCAAGTTTTTGAACCAAAACCTCTAAGCCAATGGTTCTCAACCTTCCTAATGCCAGACCCTTTAATACAGCTCCTCATGTTGTGACCCAACCATAAAATTATTTTCGTTGCTACTTCATAACTGTAATTTTGCTACTGTTATGAATAGTAATGTAAATATCTGATATGCAGGATGTATTTTCATTGTTACAAATTGAACATAATTAAAGCATAGTGATTAATCACAAAAACAATATGTAATTATAGATGTGTTTTCCGATGGTCTTAGGCGACCCCTGTGAAAGGGTCGTTCGACCCCCAAAGGGGTTGCGACCCACAGGTCAGGAACCGCTGCTGTAGGCCTTTCCTCTCGTTCTCAGCTTGGTAAGCCCTCACTATTATATCTTCTTCTTTTAAACAAATCGTACCCATTCTTGAGGACCCAGCTTCTGTTTGACCTTGTGCCTGGCGCCTGTTATAGCCACCTTGACTTGGACCTTTTCAGAATGCCTGTACTCCTCACAGTTGTACCACTCTGTGAGCAATTAGTTAGAAAATCTCTGTCATTTTCCTCTTCGGAGATCATCTTAGCTTCCTAACGAGTTTGCAGACTCTCCTTGAGTGCGGAAGCCAGTTTAACCATGATCTAGCAGAGCACTCTATGAGAGCCAAAACGGATGGAACATACGCTTTTCCTGATTTCCAAACTATGTGACCATGTACTGTATTAATTTGCATTCTCTAAAAATCTAAAGGCTAAAAGGGCTGGCCCTTCCTTTTTATAAAGTGCTTTCAGGAAAGCCTTTAAAACAATGCATCTTAAACTTTTTGAATGCAACCCACACTCATAAATACATTTTATGGGACACTGCAAACACATACGTTGGCAATTAAACAAATGTTTCACAAAATGATACTTACCTTTGTGACATTGGATGTTATTTTATGTCCTCTTATTTTATCCTAGTCTGTGCTATCATGTGCTATGCTTCCTTTTAAAAGTGCTGATCATAACAAAGTAAATGTCACAACCGCCTAATTGGTCTAGATCTGCAGTTAAAAAACCCTTAAAAAATTCCAGTGCTGACAAAAATCTCAACCACCATTTGCCAACAGTGCCCTCTGCTGGCAGCTTTATTATAAGTAGTTTCACAAATGTTTGTTTACTGGTCAATATGTGAATGTGTGTAACTGAGTCTCACTATAAAATATATTTTTTCGTTGTTTAGAAGTTTTTTTCTGAAAGCACTGTATTGTGAGGAAGGGCCAAGCTAACCAGGGGATTGTGTGTGTCTGTGTGGGTCTGAGGCTTCTGTCCCTAACGAGGTGACAACTGCCTTGCAGGAGCTCTTCTGACATGTGACCTCTTTCCCCTTCCAGATCTCTCCCAGAGGAGGGGCCCCAGGGCCTGCCTTTCACCCAGACACCTCTACACACACGGGCCCGCGGGACAGAGGCCACAGGGCTCACTTGTCTGTGGAGACCAGGCTGGGCTCACTGCAGTACTCCGCGTCGTCACCCATCTGCACGTCATAGGTCTCGTCCTGAGAAAACTCCTCCCGACACACCATGGCTATCTGGCTCTCCCGGGAGTGGCACCTAAAGTGTCCAAGATGGAGAAAAAATCAGAAACTGCCCGCCCCCTCCCCTTCCTCAGCAGTACGGCATCACACGCATGTGCACACGCGCTCACACACAGCAGCCAGGTCCCGCCTGCGACTGATCGTGGAGGAAGCACAGGACTGGGGTTGAGGTTCCATGTGGGAAGAGGGTTAGGACCAGGGAGACCTGAGTTCTGACCCCATTCAATTACCCTCTGGCATCAGTGACTGAGGCCATCCCAAGCCTCAGGATCCCATCAATAAAACTGGAATAACATATGCCCTGCCTGACCCAGAGGCTTGTGAAGAGCAAATGAAGCAACACACGAGATGGTGCTTGGGAAGGAGGAGAGGATCAGCCTTTAAGGAAGGGTCCCGGGCTGCACTGATGGAGGGGGGGTGGCCGCTGAGCGTGCTGCCCCTTCCCTTCACTAGAGGCAGTGGGCCTTTGGGCATTTGTTGGGCAGAGCTGAGAGGTCCTGGTGTCATGTTTGGCATTGGCTCCCTGGAGTGCAGGCACAGAGAAGACTCAGAGAGCGGTTTGGTGCTTCTAAGTCAGTGATGGCGAACCTATGACACGTGTCTCAGAGGTGACACGCGAACTCATTTTTTTGTTGGTTTTTCTTTGTTAAATGGCATTTAAATATATAAAATAAATATCAAAAATAGAAGTCTTTGTTTTACTATGGTTGCAAATATCCAAAAATTTCTATATGTGACACGGCACTAGAGTTAAGTTAGGGCTTTTCAAAATGCTGACACGCCGAGCTCAAAAGGTTCGCCATCACTGGTCTAAGCAGAGGGGAGTGTGCCTGAGGCCCTGCTGAGCTGAGTCTCCATGGAGCTGGCAGCACACATCCTGCCACGCCACGTGGGCCTGGGATCCTACCGCCTTCCCTCAGCCAGTCTTCTGCTCACCTCCTCGCACCTTCCTTAGCTCCCTTTCCTGCCTGTGCCGGGCTCAGTAGCCCCTCCATCGTTCTTCCTCTAGATCAGGGGTCCTCAAACTACGGCCCGCGGACCACATGCGGCCCACTGAAAACATTTATCCGGCCCGCCGGGTGTTTTTACCGCCACTGCCTGTCCTGCTTAGCAGCCGACTCGTCCCGGGCCCGCAGTGCGCATGTGTGGAATGTCTGAGGGACAGTGAACTGGCCCCCTGTTTAAAACGTTTAAGGACCTCTGCTTTAGATCCAGAAAGCCAGGGCTCGCGTTATCCTCAGACTCATGAGGCATCAGAGAAACATTCCCCTTCATCCTCAGAACTGAGTGCTGGGACTGAGCGCAGTTGTCTGGGGGAGGCCCTCACCGGTGGCTGCCCACCCCACAGTCCCAGGCTCTGAATGGGGTGGGAAGAGAGGGACAGGGAGGGAGCTTTGGTGAGGCACACGGGATGCGCCGGACACAGGGAATGGCAGCAGGCAGGCAACACCACTCCTTAGGGGCCACTGTGTGCCAGGTGCGCTGGTCTAGCCCCAGCAAAAGCAAGGCCAGTGCCGGAGCCACCTCAGCCCTGAGCTGTGACACAAAGGACAAGGTCCCAGAGCTGGAACTTTGGTTAAGTTGTCCCTCTTCACAATTTGAAACTTACTGTCCTGACTGTTGTTTTTCCCAACTGTGATGGGAGGTGGGAGCTGAGATTAGAGAGCGCTTACTATGTGCTAGGCACTGTGACCCTGTTTCCCTAACAGATGGATCTGTGAGGAGAGGAAGAAATCCCCAATGTCCCTCCCTACCTCCTCTCTAAAGTGATTTTTACCTTCCTTACTTAATACAGAACAAAGCCTCATATGAAAATTCCCTTTGAAGGAGGGGTTAGTTTACACTGAGACGCTAGTGATGAACACAGCAAGCCTTCCTTAGAGGATAAGGGGAGCGGGGAGAAGATGGTACTAGGACTGAGTCCCTGAAGGACATAGGAAGGGGGGAGGGTTTCAGAAAAGGGAGGGGCTGCCAAGACAGCTTGGGCCAGCCACCTGGACGTTGACATCCTTCTGTGCAAACCAGCCTTTCTGATCAGCACACCAAATCAGGGCTCACGCATGGCCCTGCGGCTAGAAGGCACCAGTGTGAGTGGGCAGGACTTGCCCAGCACTGCTTGGGTGGTGAGCCAGCTAATCTTAGGCAGCAATGTAGATGGATGGCTGCCTGACTTGTCTGCCATCAGTCACTGGTAAGTGGCCAGGCCATGTGGACGTACAAGTGTGCCGCTGGTTCCTTGAAGGAAAGCAGCTCAGGACACATGCCCATGGATTGAGAAAGACGCTGGGACATTTCAATTTTTCTGAGCTCAAGGGCAGAAAAAGAGACTGGCCCAAGAACCTGGCATGCTGGGATCTGCCGCCCTGCTCTGGGAGAGCAGTGCAGCTAAGGGCGAGGTGGCAAGGTGCAGATGCGTGGCCTCTCCCACCGACCTGGGGAGCCAGAGCTGCCCACATAGGCAGGCAGATCCTCTAGGCCAGGCTGTGCTCCCGGAGGCCCAGAGCATGGCAGCAGGGACAGGCTATCCCAGCACTGCGCCCTGGAGCACCAGGGAGCAGAGCACAGGGAGAAAGAGCCGGTCAGGAGGTGGGAGGTGCAGTCAAGACCAGGAATGACACTACCCTGGGACAGATGAGCATCTGCTACAGCGAAGGGCCTCCTGCCACCAAGAGGGCCCTCCCTGGAGGGGTGAGAAGGGTAGAAAGAGGAGGCGGTAACTTCGTTCCCCTCCCACTTGGGGAACGGTGTCTGTAGTGTAGCCAGGATGCAAACATCTTGGGGCTGAGAGGCCAAGGCCTCTGCATGGGCGGGGCTGGGCCCAGAGCACAGAGCAGGCTCTGCCAGAGGCGTGCTCCTCAGGACACTTGCTGGCAGTGGGGCCACGCGCCTTCCCTGAGCATGGCTGCCACATGTAGTCAGGGCAGGACCTGGGAGGCGTCCTGCACCCTGCTCTCTCCCTGGATCACGGGGCAGCAGCGTCCACCCCAGCGTGAGGGGTGAGTGCAGGCCGGGGCGCCAAACTCTCCTCCCCGACCCCTCTGAGCTGGAGTGTGTGAGGCCCTGCAGGGCCCTGGGTGCCCCACCCGCCTGCTTACCTCTTGGAGCTGAGCTTCCACGCTGCCTCCTGCACCCGGATGGCGGGAGACAAGGGGGGCCCATGGCCCTCCACGGCGCTGACGGAGCTGGGGTAGCGGGTGGGGCGGGGAAAACGGCCCAGGGCAGTGTTGTTGGCATTGTTGATGTTGGCATTGGAGCCAGTGGATGAGTAGCTGCTGGGGGTGAAGGTGGAGTCCACCAGTTTCTCATGGGATGGGGACTCGGTGTCGCCTGGGCTGTTGGTGGCCTTGTTGATGTGTAGCGGGCGCTGAGTGGTGAAGGTCTGGGGGAAGGTGCTCCGGCTGTCGCTTTGGTAGTAGCTGACATGGTTGCCGAACAGGCCACCGGCCCTCTGCAGGCAAGACAGGAGGGGTGGGTGGAGGAGGACGCCTCCGTGGCAACCTCTCCTCTGCAGCCACCCCAAGGGAAGTTGTCTGCCCTCTGAGAGCACGCAGGGCAGCATGTGGTGGGCGGGGATTCTTCACCCACGTGGCCTGGCAGCTGGAATGGCAGGGACCCATCAGTCCCCTCTGGAAGGGCTGGGGGAATAGTGAGGGACAGGACATCCTGTGGGAGCCAGCCAGGCTGGGCAACCGCTGCCTGGGGAGTTTCTAATGAGCCTGTGGAAGACTGGGGTTGAGTTCAAGGATGAGTCTAGTGTGCCCAGCCCCCCCTGCACCTGGGAGGGGTGGCAGCTGAGGCGCTGCGAGGTCTGAGGGGCGGGGAAGGGCCCGAGGCTCCAACAAGATTTAAAAATGGAACTCCATCTGGCTCACTGGGCTAGAAACTGTGTTAGCCAAAGGCTTTGAAAATAAAGATGATGGATTTACTACCTCTATTATATTATGGCCTCCTTTCCTGTGTGTGTTTGTGTGTGTGTGTGGGGGGGGGGGGGGGGTGGCGGGCGGGGGGAGGGGGGGAGTGTCTTAGAGATTTCAGATCTGGAACCGGGCTCATGCCCAGCATTCTTTCCTTGTCCTGGGCAAGTGGGCAAGTAGCTATTGGCAAGGTTGGTTGGCGGGGTCTGGGCAGGGCCGTGTCAACCTGCTGCTGTGTCCCTGAGGCCACTCAGTAACGCACACTTCGCAGTGATGAGAATGAGGATGTGATGACAGGTCAGGTACAGGCAGGACCACTTCCTCTCGCCTCCCTGTGTTTCCATAGCCTGGGGACCCGGGCACGGGCTGGGAGGGACAGGTGTGCGCTGGCCCTCGCTGGAGAAACACTTAGATAAATGCCTTCGGGATTGGGCAGGTGCCACAAATGAAGGGAGAGAGCTGGATGCAAGAGCCCAGGCGGTCCGGTCATGTTGTTTCTACTGTGAGCACTGAAGCCCAGCCTCCGGCCCAGGGGAGGAGGGGCAGGGCTGGAGGGACCTGTGACCTGGAGAACACATGTCCCGTCGAGGGGACAACTGCCCCTGGGCTCCAGCCCTCTGCTGCCGTGGGGGCCACAGCCTAACATTGACAGGGCTTCGCATGCTTTAAAGAGAAACTGGAAGTCTAGATTTTTATTTGAATGTGCCCGATTTTCAAATGTTGGCGAACTAAATGGGCCTGCATGTTAGCTGTGGCCCAAGGGCCATCACTTTGCAGCTTCTAATGTATTTTCTCCTTGGAAACATTTCCCTTGGAAAATGGGTCCCTCTTCCTCCTCCCAGAGCCCGAGATGCCCTCAGAGCTGCCATGTCCTGGAAGCCCTGGCTTGAGAGGGAGTTGGGCTTGGAAAAGGGGATGGGGAGGAAATAGCTGGTGGGCAGAGCTGGAATCTGCCACAGAACTCGGGCCTTTCTCCCTGGGTTTTCTTGTCAGGACACCAGTCCACCCTCCTGCTTCAACTGAACTTGATTAAGGTGGAGAGTGCTCTGTAGCATCCGCCTACCCTGAAGATGTCGTCTTCAGAGGCGGCAGACACAGCCTCCTTCATGGCTTTGTCTAGTTCCTCTTCAGCTGTCAGGTCTCCGGAGATGGCCCGTCGGATCTCGGGCCCGATGTCGTGCAGCGTGCGCAAGCCAGCCTGGAACCCAGAGGGACGCGTGAGCCCAGGGCCCCTGCCCAGCCACTCACCCGCATGTCTCCCCAGGCAGGGAGCCCCCAAAAGGCATCCTGTGTGTGCGAACTGGGCGTCTCTGGGACCGCTCTGTCTGGATCCAAGTGGAAGAACCCAGGCTCATACCCAGGAGAGATGAAGGCACAGTAGGTGGCAGGGGCTGTCAGGGAACCTCAGCCCCGCTCCAGAGCCTGGGCACCGTGGAGCAGGCAGGGCCATGCGGGCAGTGTGTGTGGAGAGAACACAGAGGGAAAGGACTATGTTCCCTTCGCGCATCTACCTTCTGAAGGGACCTGGCTCCCGCCCACTGGTGAGAGACTTGGACCCTGGCCCGAGGTCAGAGGAAGGTGGCCAGGTCTTTCCTTGGGGTGTGGCCCCACTGGCTCCTCACCTGTAGGGACAAGGCGTTCCTCTGAGAGGGCTTGCCCACGAGGCCCTGCTCTTTGCGCTTCTTGAACTTCCGGAAGTACTCTTGGATCAGGAAAGTAGCATAAAACTTGCCGACCGTGACCTCATCATCTGACATTCAAAGAGAGAACAGGGAATTGGAGATGGACAAGGGGAATTCAGTTGGGCTTTATTAATTTATTTTTCAGCAGCCAAACTTTAAAAATTTTTAAATTTATATTTTGAAGAGATAGTACATTCACATGGTTCAAAAAGACAAAACTATATAAAAAATTATATAGTGAATATCCTCTTTCCCACTGTTCCCATCTGTCAGGTTACCACCTCCTAATAGATAAGCTTTTTATTAGTTTCTTGAATATTTTTGCAAAGATTCTTTATGCAAATGCTTTCTGTAAATGAGCAATATATTCTTATTGCCCCCTTTTTAAAGAAAAATACCATATTGTCAAAATTATTTCCCACCTTGCTCCGTTTACTGAACTGACATTGCTACTGTTCTCATTTGATTCTGAAGCTTCAGACCCCCTGCAACCAGTCCCCTAAGTGCAAACATAGTTCTGCTTAAAGGCCAGCAGGAGGGGTGGTGGGAGGAGCACCTTCCTCCTGTGTAAGTTTGGGTTTTTCTTTCAACCAGATAGATTGCGTTGGCTCGGTCCCCTGTCTTGGGAATGAGCCATGTGATGGAGAAGCCAGGAAGTCTCCAACGAGAATATTTCATGCCCTATAAGGAGCCCCTTTGCTCCACCTCCTAGGTCTCTGTGAAGGACAGGGCCACGGGCCTGGGAATCAGCTGGTTGGGTCAGATCTAAGGGCTTGCGATGATCCTCCTGCTTCTAATTGTCCTCAAAGAGAAGCCAAATCCACAGCAGCCCCCTCATTCCCATTGGGAGGAAAGACCCTGAGACCCTGTCCAGGGCAGTCGGGGAGGAAGTGTTGCAGGGAAAAGAGCTTGGCGCTCTGGCATCCCTCAGACCTGGGTTCAAATCCCAAATCTGCTAGGTCCTCACAGCGTAGCCTTGGGCCAGCTACTTAGTCTCTAAGAACTTTGATTCTTTGAGCAAACATCATAGAAACGTTATAAGGAGCAAATAAAATACTGTATGTAAGCCGTCAGGTGCCTCCTGTCCAACTCTGTGACTCCACTTAGTCCCAGTCCTGCCTTCCCGCTGGGAAGTGGTTCTCAACAGGGGTGGGTGTCACCTTTTAAAAAGTGTTTTGAGGCTGGTGGGATGTTTTCAGTTGACATGGTGACTTGGGGTGCTACTGGTACTAAGTGGCTCTCGATGTGGCCCTTAAGCACAGATATGTTTTGCACAATAAATAATAGCTTCGCACTCTTTCAAGTACTATGATAGGACATCCATGTGGGGGACAACCTGCTTATAGTTATCTGAGCTAAGAACCTAACTTCATTTTACATAGTTTTAATATATCCAGAATTTTCCAGGAACATAGCTGCTGTGTAAGTTGACAGAAGACTCTGCTTCACCTGCCCCGATGGAATCTGCGTCCCCGCTGTCGTTGACCTGCCTGTCTCAGGCAGCATGTGTTCTTTGCATGTGCATGCATGTAGGTGTATGTATATATATGTGCGTGTGTAAAGTTGTTTAAATATACTTAGGCTTTATGCTTCAAAATGACAAAAACAAGATATTGACAATATTCAATCATCTTACTTCCTTTAAACACTTAATTGTTATACGTGGGTGCATACAAGCATTCCTTCAGTTAGTTATAACTTTATATATTGAAAGCCATTAGATTTCAATACATTTTATATTAGTTAAAGCATTATATTAATATTTTGGAAATTACATGTGTGAGAAGGCTGTTTTACCTATGGCTCAGGACAGCGGTAGGGGCTGTGGGTGCACAGGGCTGAGCAACATGCCCTGAGAAGGACACACACAGCTCCCACCAGGAGGCGCTCTCAGGACCCATTTATGACAAGAGCCATCAGGCCAGGGGTTTATGGGGAAACTTAAAAGTTTCCTTGAAGTTCTGCCAAACCTCAAGCTTTGAGAGGCCTCTCTGACTTAATCTGCGAAATGCAGGACTGGACTCGACCTCCAACCCGACGGTCTGTATTTGAGTTTGTGGAGGGTGTGGCACCCTCGTCCCTTCTAACCAGGAGGGCCTTTCAGCCCACCAGCAGGGTTCGGGGAGAGCAGATTTCCCACAAGCCTAGCAACTCAAGAACCAGGCAAGTGGTGAGTTTGCGGAGACCGGGAAGCACTTACCACCCGCGGGGGGCACCACTTGGTCCAGCAGCTTCATGCTGGTCCGCTTCCAGATCTTCTTGATTATGGCCCGCAGCTCCTCATTGGCTTGTTCCAGGTTCCCTGAGGGGAGGGAGACAGACACAAGGCTGAAAAGATCATCCGACTCTTGGAGGCTCCCCCCCCCCCCCCCCCCCCCCCGCCACGGGGTGTGCTCTCAGCATCAAGTGCCTCACAGATGGTCCTGATCCCTTGTTTCCCTCTTTCTCCCCTGTCTTGTGCCCTGTCCAATGCCATTCCTTCTTGGCCTGCTACTCAGTGGGCCAGGGGCGTCCCTTCACCTCACACACTGCTTTTCCTTGTGGGCGGCACTTAGGACTGACAAGGCTGCTGGTACTGGACAGAGCTCAGCAGCCATCTGGCGGGAGAGCACAGGGGCTCTCCCTGGATGGCATTTCTCAGGGCCCCCGTGGTTGCCAGGGAGACGTGGGTGATTGGAAGAAGAGCAGTCTCCCCAGTGTCAAAGCCCTTTGCTGAGTCTCCTGCAGGGAGCAGGTGGCACAGCCTCAGTGTGGAGGCAGAAATTGAAGACACTGGATTCTCTGGGTCTACCTTCCCCACTGGCAAAACAGGCTAATGAGGTGTTCACCCCATGTGGCCTCTGGGATAATGGCCTTATTGCCATATGAGAGGAAAGCTGAGACCTGCAGCTGTGAGACAGGATGTAAGATGCCCCCAACCTGCCTCCCACCACCACTGATATATGCACCCCTGCACAGTCCCTGGCCTGTGACCAGAACGGATTTCACCCTGTGAGTAGGTTATATTACATGGCACATATGACCCTGAGATGGGGAGGTTATCTAGGTGAGCCCGACCTAATCACATGAGCTCTTTAACAATAGAGAGTTCTCAGGTACAAACTTCCAGTATAAAATAAGTAAGTCCTGGGAATATAATGCACAGCTTGGTGACTATAGTTAGTACTGTATTGCAATTTAAAAGTTGCTAAGAGAGTAGATCTTAAAAGTTCTCATCACAAGCCCTGGATGGGTGGCTCAGTTAGTTGGAGCATCATCCTGTACACCAAAAGGTTGCAGGTTCAATTCCCGGTCAAGGCACATACCTAGGTTGCGGGTTTGGTCTGTGGTTGGGTTGCGTACGGGAGGCAACCAATCAATGTTTCTCTCTCTCTCTCTCTCTCTCTCTCTCTCATCAATGAACATAGCCTCAGGTGAGGATTAAAAAAAGTTATCATCACAAGAAAAATATTATAACTATACATGGTGATGAATGTTAACTAGCATTATTGTGGTGATCATTTTACAACATATACAAATAACAAATCACTAAGTTGTATACCTGAAACTATTATAATGTTATATGTCAATTGTACCTCAATAAAAAACAAAACAAACAAAAAATAAACGTGTGAAGAGGGTCAAAAGGTGGAAGTAGAGAGTTCTCTCCAGCTGGGAGCAGGAGTGAGAGAGATGGTGGCGTGGGCCTGGAAGAAAGCACACACCGTGTTGGGAGCTGAGCTGAGAGAGGCAGCCTCTGGGGCTGAGTGGTCCCAGCAGAGAGCCAGCCCTGCAACTGCATGAAGTGAATCCTGCCAACAACCTGAATGAGCTGGAAGTGGGTTCTTCCCTGGAGCCTCTGGGAGAGGACACATCCTGACCAGTATCCCGTTGGCCTTGTACAGCCCTGAGCACAGAACTCAGCTACCCCATGGCTCCCCTCCTGACCTACAAAATTGGGAGCCAATACCTGGGTGTTGTTTCAAGACAAGAAATGTGTGGTAATTGGTTATACAGCAATAGGAAACCAATACTGGCAGACCTCTATGATATTCCGTTTTAGACCACTGCAATAAAGCGAATGTTGCAATTAAGCCAGTCACAATTTTTTTTGGTTTCCCAATGCATATAAACATTATGTTTACACTATACTGTAGTTTATTAATTATACAATAGCATTATCGATATATATAAAAGCCGAAGTGACTGTTACGACCGGATGACTGGCCAATAGCTATGATGCACACTGATCACCAGGGGGCAGACGCTCAATGCAGTAGCTGCTCCCTGGTGGTCAGTGAGCTTCCACAGCCAACCTCCCTCAGCCGGCCAACCTCCCGTGCTCCCTGCCCCCCAGATTGCCCCGATTGGGAGACGGCCCTGATTGGCCTGATCGCCAGCCAGGCTGAGGAACCCCACCCATGCACGAATTCATGCACCAGGCCTCTAGGGTCTATATAAACAATGTAAATACCTTAATTGAAAAATATTGTTAAAAAATGGTAACCATCAGCTGAGCCTTCAGCAAGTCCTAATCCTTTTGCTGGTGGAGGGTCTTGCCCTAGCTGCAATGAGCAATAAAGTGAGGTCTGTGTGATGAATCGCTTAGTGCTGCTCTGCAGGGAGGCAGCACGGCCAGAGCTGATCAGGCTGCCTGCGCTGGAATCCGCCCTGTGGCCCTGCCAGAGAGGCTCCCTTTGAAGGAAGCCCAACAGGAGCAAGCAGAGGTGGCAAGGGAGAGTGGCGGGCACCTGAATCCCCTGTGAGAACGTCACCTGAGCCAAAGGGCAGTCTTGGCATTCTAGTTGTGGAGGGAGTCCTTCATGGTTATGCTCCCTTCCTGGGTAAGGTAGCTAGTGGTTTCTGACATATGCAGTGAAAGAGTCCAAATTAATACAATGCTCAAATATACTTATCTTATGTAGTGGGTTGAATAGTGTTCCCTCCAAATTCATGTCCACATGGAACCTTGGCATATGACCTTAGTTGGAAATAGAGTCTTTGTGGATGTGATTAGTTAAGATGAGCTTGTACTCATCAGGGGGCCCTAAATCCAGTGTGACTGGTGTCCTTATCAGATGAGGAGACATGTGGAGGCACACAGGGAAGAAGGCCAGGAGAGGATGGAGGCAGAGACTGGAGGGAGGCAGCCACCAGGAGCCAGGAGAGAGGCAGGGAACAGCTCCCCCTCAGAGCCGAAAGGGAACCCCCTGACACCTTGACTTTGGGTTTCTGGCCACCTGAACTGTGAGAGGAAACATTTCTGTCCCGTCTGCTACAGTCTGCTACCATGGACTTAGGCAACAAATCCATCTTCCAAAAGAACTTTTAAATTTTTTCAGGCTTCAGTTTATTCTCACGATTAGCTGTGTACCTGGGGAACGTCACTAGCAGTTGTTGCACATCATCTAAGTATTTAAACATATCTTCCTTCTGCATCCCAAAGTTCTGTGTGGCTTGGGACTGGTTCTCTGAAGAAGGTGATAATTTCTGTCCAATTCCTTCCACGCTCAAAAGTCTGAAGGGTGATGACTGGTGAAGACTTTATCCTCACAAGTTGAGATGCTTTCTCACATTTCTTTCCAGTGGCTTCTAAGAACTTGCCTTTGTCTTCTACACTTAAGAGATTAACACTATGGGGGAGGGTTTGTCTCCGATAAAGGTTTGCCCCTGAGCTGGCACTGTGGGCCCTTTGGTAGCTATTCCTTTTTTTTTTTCTTTTTCTTTCCAAATTTCATGTTATTCTGGTAAGAACACTTAACAGGAGATCTACCCACCAGACAGAATTTTAAGCATACAAAACAGTGCTGTGAGCCATAGGGACAATGCTATGCAGTAGATAAATGTCTTCATGTTTCAAGTTTCCTTTAATTGTTGAAGCCAGTTACCATGTGGCTGGCTTCTCCCGCCCCCGAGCGCTCATTTCCTGGAGCCTGGTCATGTGTCCTGGGTATTTGGGAGCAGCGCCTTTGGCACTGTCAGCAGCGGTTGGTATTCTTTAGCTGGGGCTTGGTTTGCACTGACAGCGCATCTTCAACAGTGAGGACTCGGGCCTCCGTGCACCAGCGCTATTCAGTCCTCCAAGGAATGAAAATGTGTTCCCTCAATTTACCTCAGGCTGTAAGTCCTGCACAGTATTCCTTCTCGCAGTCATCACACCTTCTCCCTTAGAGAAGGAAACCTTTCCTCCTGGACATAATTGTAATAGTCATTGCAGAAATTTGGAAAGTAACAGAAGTAAAGGGAGAAGGTAAACATCACTGCTCACTCTACTACTCAGTGAGAATCATGTTAACATAATAAATGTCCTTCCAGTTTTTCTCCTTGCTATATACACACAGTACATTAAATGTGTGTTCAGTTGTTCCCGTGTGAAGAATAGGCGTACTTACATCCACTTCAGATTGAGCTATTGCATTAGCTACCGAGAGTATATTCGTTGTTTCTTTTTACTAGTAGCTTAGCAGCAGAACTTGAACCATTTTTAATTTTTTTAAAGATTAGCTCATTATTTTTGACATGTATTGGGTTGGCCTGTTTTTGTTTTCTTTCCTTTAGGATGTTCCTATTATTTTCTGGAAGGCTTTAACTGAGAGAAGGCACCTCTCCGGGATGCTCGCTGAAGTGACTCCCCTCGTAGCAGCTCATTACCCTCTTATCTGACGATGAAGAAGCTTAAGCAGAGAGAACACACAACTTGTCACAGATGTGATCCAAGTCAGGCCTCCCTCTCCCTGCCCAGCTCCTTCCGTTGCGCCCAGGATGCGCGGCTGGCAGCCCGCGCCTCTCAGACTGAAGCATGAGCAGGGAAAGAAGACATACTGCTTCTCTCTGTGCTTTCTTTGTTCTCTAGATGAGGGTTTCAAACTTCACTTCCTGTCTGAATCCTAATGTGGCTGGTTGAACATGCAGATTCCCGAGCCTGCTCTGAGCCTCAGATTTGGAGATCTGGGCTGGTGTGTGGAACTCAGTATTTTAAAGAAACTCTAATAGTTGAATCTGAGGCAGGTGGTCTTTTGATCACTCTCTGAGAAACACTATATAACAGACTAGAAGGTCCTACAGCAAATACAACTCTTAGGTACATTTCATATAGCCTTTTCCACAGATGGTTCAGGAAAACATCAATTACACAGACAGCCGATTATTGCAGCCAAAGCGGCTGCAGCCCGCAGGGTGCTTTTGTGCAAACTAGAAGAAGGTGTCCCTCCATGTGGACACGGGCCCAGGGAGCACAGCCTGTCTAGTGGAGCACAGGTGTGATCTTAACCCCTACCCGTGAGCTGGCTGAGCCCTTGTGCCACTGTATGTGATGACTTCGACCATAGTCACCGTTTGCCACTATGACCCCTTCCCCACACAGGGCTTTTTTTTTAACCCTCACCTAAGGATATGTTTTTATTATTTTTTAGAGAGGGAGATAAAAAGATAAGAAAACGGGGGGGGCAGAGAGAGAGAGAGAGAAGAGAAACATGATCAGTTAACTCCCGCACACGCCCCAAATGGGGATTGAACATACAACCTAGGTATGTGCCCTGATTGATTCTTTTTAAAAAAATATATTTTTATTGATTTCAGAAAGAGGAAGAGAGAGAGGAAGGGGGAGAGAGAGAGAGAGAGAGAGAGAGAGAGAGAGAGAGAGAGAGAGAGAGAAACATCACTGATGAGAGAGAATCATTGATCGGCTGTCTCCTGCATGCCCCACACTGGGAATTGAGCTCGCAACCTGGGCATGTGCCCCGACCGGGAATCAAACTGTGACCTCCTGGTTCATGGGTTGGTGCTCAACCACTGAGCCATGCCGGCCGGGCCCTGATTGATTCTTGTATGTGCCCTGACCGGGGATTGGACCCGCAATCTTCACATATCAAGACAACTCTCTAACCAGCTGGGCTACCCATCCAGAGTCCACACAGATTTTTTAGTTTAAAAAGAATGTTGAGCCTTTGAGAGGCCCATTTGCAGACAATTCAATTTCATTTAGGTGAGGCTTGGTCTTGCTTCAGGTAATACTCACCTTTTACTGGTTTTTGAATGATACCCTGTGACTTCAAGAGTTGGAAAGCTAGAGTTCAACATGAATAAGCTAGAGGCCATTCAAGAGGCAAAGGGAACAGGACGAGGCCCCGTTTGTAACCCTGAGGTGAGTTATTGCTGAGCCACAGCTCCGCGCAGGACGGGAAGGCCCTGGGCCTCTGCAGGTGCCGACCACCTCTAGCTGGTGTGCCAGGTCTTCTGGGGGCTCTTCCAGTGCCCTGTGGGTGATTCTTACCTTCTGTTTTGATCCTCAGGGCTGTCCGGACCAGGGCAAATAGGGTGGCATTGAACATGACCGTCCCATCACTGTTCAGAGGCATATTCATGGAGACCAGACGCTGGAGGGGAAAGGGAGGCAGAGCTGGTGATTACAGCAAACAGTTCTCAAAGGACCCACAGAATCACCATGGCAGGAGGACGCTGGGAGGGAGCCTCTAAACATGTGTGCATGTGTCTGGAGTGGACGGGCATGTAGAAGCAGGAGCCACTGAAATGTATTCAAAACCTGTTCTGGGAGAATCTTGGCTTTGCTACGGATACTCTCACCCAGCTGCACAGAGTGAGGGAGGGATGGAAGTTGTCCCTGTTAGACCCTTGCTTCCAACCCCTTCCCCGTTCAAATGTTGCTCATGCGTATGGATGTGCTCTCTACTGGCAACAGAGAACAGCTGTGTGCAGGCATTTGCTGGGAGCCACCTGCCAGCCCACATTCGTCTAACGCCTGATAAGAGAGACAATGACGGGAGATGCTTGCAGGAGATGCATTTGTCCTTTTTTTCTGTATATTGAAAAACCTACCTCTACGTCAGGCTGGATCAGAGGCTTGCTGACACTGGATAGGATTGGGTTGCCCTCTCTCCTCCTTCCCCACCCCCCAACATTGCTGCCATGGCACTCTGCTCAGAGTGGGGCCCTCAGTATATACCAGGGTCACTGTGAGAAAAGGCACCATGAAATTCATTCTGGCATCTGCTCCGAGGATGTGGTCAAGGCTATTATTCGTTAGATCACAGGGTGTCCTCCTGTCAATCGTGTTGCCAAGAAGGGTTATAATAGCTCTGAGTGACTTTTCCAGCGGTCTCTGGGAAGTGCCAGCTCTATCGCAGCCTGTGCAGGCCCATCTGGAGGCCCCGATGGAACTGCAGCCTCATTCATCGCCACTCTTGTTTCCCACTATGCTTTCCCTGACGTTTAATTTGTGCTCTTTGTTTCTCATATCTTTTGCACCCTGGGAAATCTTCTAAAATCTTTTTTTTTTTTTTTTTTTTGGAATGAAGTGGAGGTACAAGTGAGGAAAAACTGAGTAAAACAGAGCACAAGTAGAAGGTTCTATATTCTGTCAATTCCCCATTTTCCATGAGTGGGCCATCCACAGAGCTGAACTTTTCTACTTGTGTTTCTTCCTCTGTACAGTTCTCTGACGTCACTGCCCCCCAGCCCCTTTTCAACCTGTCACCATTCCAACATGGAATTCAGAAGGGTGACCATGAGAATTAAAGAAAGAGGGAAGAGAGTGGAAACAGGACTCTTCAGCAAGTGCTGGGCTACATGGCTGGGATTACAGTGAGGCAAGAGAGGGCATACGACTTAAGGGAGTGCTCACTCTCGGGGTGATGCAAGGGCCACATAGGCAAGAGTCAGGTCTAACAGAACCTAGGATGTCTGTCCTCAACATCGTGGACTCACTTGGAAATCTGATGAGCATGATGATTCTCTCCCTGGTACAATTTTGTGGATCCCTGAAGCTGATGCATGGACCTTCTATTGGCCCTGTGATCCTAGGAGAGCACCCTAATCCACCATCCTAGATGGGAGTCTGTGAGGTTGCCTAGGTGGCACAGCGTGCTCTGAACAAGGGCCTTTACTCAGGACTGAGCACAGGGCTCACTGGGACATGAGGCACTCACTTCGCTTTTCCTTTATAGAGGCTGAGAACTTATTGCTGGAAGGAACCTTAAAATTTAACCTGGCTCAGGCTCATTTCTTTAGGCACATAACACAGTGTCTTCACTCCCTTAAAGCACTGGCCTGACCAAGGTTACAAGACAAACAGGCATCTTGCCTCCCATATTTTCTCTCTTTTCCCCATGAACCCAGGTTGTCTCTTACTTTGCAAGCCACACGGTGAGGGCACAGCTTCCCAAAGCCCAGTGGGGGCTGAATCCGCCGGAGCAGGGTCACCACATCCAGGTGTTTGATACGACCCCTAGGAGAGGAAGAAGAGGAGGGAAAGGCCAGTCAGGAGCCATGGTTTTAGCCAGCGGGCCAGGACTCCTGTTCCTGAGAGGTGGGGGCCCACCTATAGGAGGGACTCTCCATAGCTGGAGTCCTATTGGTCAAACTCAGTGCGGAGCTGCAGAATTGCATGGTAAAACTCCAAAACCGATATATACATGTTTAGGTTTTAGTGAGCCATCCAGTGGTGTATGTTCAAAATGGAAGGATTTAGTAGTGCAATGAAATTCTCAACATGTACTTGCTGCTTCAGTCAACTAACCACCTGACCAAAAGGTATTTATTGAGTGTTAGCCAAACATGATGATTGAAAAGGGTATCCTTGGACTTGAGGCAGGAAAGGAGTTGAGATATACCTGGTCCTATTCATCCTAACTTGAGTATCTACCAGTTATTCCAAACACAAGGCTCTTCTATCTTTCCATTCAACTGCAAATTGCAGATATGTTCATGACTTAATCAAAGTGCCTGGCTTCCTACTGCTGGTCCTTGACCCTGGACCCTGGTGCCTGGTACAATTCAGTGTTTCCAGTGGACCCACCCCACGCTAACCCATCTAGACCCTCTTCTAAGGTATGGTTGTGCAATCCTCCCTCTTGGCTTTGGGAATCAGAATTTACGCCTGGGAACTTACTTGGCTTCAGGGTCATACTCTGCCCAGATTCTTTTAAATTCGTCCAAATGGTGGGGACCAAGGATTGACCAGTCCCTTGTCAGGTAGTCAAAGTTGTCCATGATGACAGCTACAAAGAGGTTGATAATCTGCAGAGAACAGAGAGTATGATGAGTTGCCTAAGAGGACCTTCTTATACACTTCCACTTGAATCCACTTTGCCAGCATGGCAGAAGCCGACATTTCTAAAGACCAGCCATATGTCACCATTTACACCACCAGTCCCTGAAACTTGAGCCTCTTGGATATGATCATACATAACACAGCTTCCCTCAGAATTGTGTGTGCTGAACCCACATGTGGGCTGGACAGCTTCCCTCCTAGGCTGCTGGGCAGGGCTGCCAAGAAGAGAGGGCAACTTTATCTGCCACCTTTTCCTCATTCTCCAATCAAAGGGTCAAAAATGTCTAAGTTGCTTCTAGGCCTCCACAGGCATCTCCTCTGTCCTCTGGGACAATGCCACCATGACAAGAGCCAAGAATGGACAAGAGAGATGCTGGCTGCGGTCACTCTGGCTCAGGCTTTCTGTCCTTGTCTCAGTGTGGTTGGACATTCCTACTAACTCAATCTTTCCGCGGCAGCTCTTCTACGGGGTCGCCCTTGCCATGAGCTGTTGCGATGTCAGGGTCAAGCTGCCCCGCCCGACCTGCTCGCTCATTCCCTGTGGCTATTTAGTCCAACTCCAGCTTACCAGGAAGGCACAGAGCATGTAGAAGCTGATGAAGTAGAAGACGGCGAAGCTGCTGCCACAGGGCGCCTCCCCTTCCGTGCTGTTGTGGGGCTCAGACTCCGGGGCGCACTTCTTCCCTGGCATGCAGGCCAGCATGATGTCCTGCCACGCCTCCCCAGTGGCACACCTGGGGCAGAGAGGCAAGAGAACGCAACACCCATGGATTCAAGCCCACATCTCTGGCCCCTTCCCCGGCCCGTTGCAACACAGTATTGTCACTATAGTCACCATGTGTCACATCAGATCCTCAGACCTTATTCACCTTAAAATTGAAGATTGGTACCCTTTTACGAACTTCTTCCTATTCCTCTCCTGGAAACCACTTTTGCATTCCCTGTTTCTATGTGTTTAGATTTTTCAATTCTATTAGTGAATTAAAAAAAATGTTGCTCATGTGATAGGTATAAAATATTTCACTGCTGTTTTAATATGACTAATGTGTTGAGATTTTCATTTCATCTTCTGTTGACTCGCATGTTCATATTCTTGTCTCATGGGCTATTTGTTGTGTTTGTTTTTAGGATTCTTTCTATATTTTTCACATTAATCTTTTTCAGTTATATGCATCACAAGACCTTCTTCTAGTCTGTGGCTTACTTGTCTTTAACTTTATTTATGGTATGTTTTTGATGAATCTAAGTTTTAAATTTCAATGTGGCCAAATTTATAATTTTTTTCTGATTTTTTATTTTTAATAATTTTATAAAGTTTTCCTCTATCGTTTTTTTTTTTTTGCATCTTGTTTAAAATATTTTTCTATATTATGGGTCATAAAAAATTCTCCTCTGTTCTAAACGTTGTAAAATTCTGTTTTTCATAATAACCCATGAATCTGAAATATATTTTTGTACTTCATATTAGGTAGAAATACGCTTTCTCTTTTTCTGTATAGATAACCAATTTTCTTAATACAATTTATTGAATAGTCCATCTTCATCTGCTGATGTGAAATATAGTTTCTGATATAACTGTTTTCCCATACACGCGTGGGCCTCACACTAGCCATTTCATTCTATTCCTAGCAGACCGCACTGCCTTGGCCACTCTGACTTCACAGCTAAGGCTTGCTGTCTCGGGGAGTGGCCCTAGCTTCTTGTTCTTGAAAACTGCCTTGGCTATTAATTTTCCTTTTCTAGTCCATGGGCATGGCAGGGCCAGCTTATCAAGTTCCATGAATAATCCTGTTGAGCATTTCACTGAAATTGCATTAAAATATAGATTAAGTTGGGGAATTTGACATTTTTGTGATATTGTCTCTTAGCCAGGAATATGACACATGTCACCATTTATTTAGGTCCTATTTCATGCTTTTTAATAACATTTTATAATATCACCAAAACCATCTTTGTTAGGCTATTTCTAGGTATCTTATTTAAAATAAACAAAGTATTCTATTATAAATGGTATATTTAAAAAGTTTTATTTTCTGTTTGCAGCTAATGTAGAGGAAATACAGTAAAACCTCGATATAATTGATTAATTCAAGTGGGGGGGGGGGTCTGTTAAAGCCGAAAGTCTGTTATACAATAAAGTAGGTTTTCCAAATGTGTTGTTAAAAAGTGACAAATTAGCCCTATCCGGTTTGGCTCAATCGATAGAACATCAGCCTGCGGACTCGGGGGGTCCCGGGTTCAATTCCAGTCAAGGGCACATGCCTGGGTTGTGGGCTCGATCCCCAGTAGGGGGCGTGCAGGAGACAGCCAATCAATGATTCTCTCATCATTGATGTTTCAATCTCTCTCTCCCTCTCCCTTCCTCTCTCTGAAATCAATAAAAATATTTTTTAAAAAGTTGACAAATTAGTTTACCTGGTTTTATTTATGTAGACATATTTGTGTCATTAAAATTCAGTCTGTACGAAAAGTTTAATTTCAAAGAAAAGTTTTCTATATGTATTACTGTAATTTTAAATATATAGTGAGTAGGTCTAGTAAATGCATGCATTCACCAGTCACCGGGAGAGTAAATGAATGCACACGGCTGGGCGGGGCTTAGCGCAGGTCTGGACATCTGTTGGCACCAGTTAAAAAGGGCTACAGAAAGTCATGGAATGCCCGTGTAACCCGGTGACCCCACTTCTAGGAATATATCCTAAGAAATCAGGTGCTTCTATGTCTCTGAATCTATTTTTGTTCATCAGTTTATGTTGTTTGTTAGATTCCACGTATGAGTGAGATCATGTGGTATTTATCTTTCTCTGACTGGCTTATTTCACTTAGTATAATGCTCTCCAGGTCTATCCATGTTTTTGCAAATAGTAAGAGTTCCTTCTTTTTTTTACAGCTGCCTAGTATTCCATTGTATGAATGTATCACAGTTTTTTAATCCATTCATCTGCTGATGGGCACTTAGGCTGTTTCCAAATCTTAGCTATTATAAATTGCACTGCTGTGAACATAGGGGTGCATATATTTCTTACAGAAAAGCATCCACTTCATTTAGATTTTCAAATATATTGACATAAATTTGTAATAATATTGTCTTATTGGGATTGTCAGATTGAATTAATAAAAAATGTTCCTACTATGTGTTGTCTATAGGAGACACTTTAGATTCAAAGGTACAAGTAGTTTGAAAGTAAAAGAATGAAAAAAAAATCCCTCAAGTTAGAAGCAAATATGTCAGACTGTATTAAAATATAGGCTACTTAGAAGAAATATATATCTAAAATGTAAGAATATAGCAAGGTTTATGTTCAAGTGTGGAAAAAGTATACCACATAAACACTAAAAACAAATAAACAAAAAGCTGGTGTAGATGTATTAATATCACACAAAGTAGAATTTATAATAAAATTATTAAATATGGTTATATGGCTTATAAAATATTGTCAAACGGCTCAAATTGCCCGGGTCAGTGTTGCTGAGTGGTTAAAGCATCGGCCTGTGCACTGAAGGGTTGAGAGTCTGCTTCCACCCCTTGTTGTGTGCTGGAGGCAACCAGTCAATGTGTCCCTCTCACCTCTCACATCGATGTTTCTCTCTCTCTTCCTCTCTCACTCCCTTATACTCTCTCTGAAGAGCCATGGAAGAAATATCCTCAGGTGAGGATTAACAACAAAAGGCTCAAATCATCAAAAAGATATACAAATTTCAAATTCTAAAACAAAAGTTTTTTCTTTGAAAACATTTAATAATAATGCTAATAAACCCCTAGCAATACTGATTAAATGCTGAAAGAGAGAGAGGGAGAATGAGAGCATATAACCAGGGATGAAAAAAAGGACAACACCACTATAGACATTAAAAGATAAAAGGGTATTATTTATGAATAACTGTACATCAATAACTTTGAAACTTTAAATGCAATAAAAAATTCTTAGAAAAATACAATTTATAAAAACTGACCCCAGAGTAAAAGAAAATTTGAATGGGTTTTGATTGTGAAAATCATTAAATCCATAATTGAAAACCTCCTCAAAAATTAAATACCAGGCCCAGATCACCACATTGTTAAATTCTACAAAATACTTAAGGAAGAAATAAAACCAGTGTTAAAACTCATTACAAAACTACATTAATTAACACAATGTGATATAGGTGTAGGATTTATACCAACAAATCAATGCAAAAGGAAAAGATCCATGCCTATATAGACACTTGATATGTGGAAGATTGGATTGCAAACAACTGAAGAAAGGATGGTATTTTCTTTTTTTTTTTTTTTTTTTAATTAAATCTTTATTGTTCAGATTATTACATTTGTTCCTCTTTTTTTCCCCCCCATAACTCCCCTCCTCCCAGTTCCCGCCCCACCCTCCGCCCTCACTCCCCACCCACTGTCCTCATCCATAGGTGCACGATTTTTGTCCAGTCTCTTCCCGAATCTCCCATACCCCTTTCCCCCCCAGGAATAGTCAGTCCATTCCCTTTCTATGTCCCTGATTCTATTATAATCAACAGTTCATTCTGTTCATCAGATTATTTATTCACTTGATTCTTAGATTCACTTGTTGATAGATGCATATTTGTTGTTCATAATTTGTATCTTTACCTTTTTCTTCCTCTTTCCCTTCTTAAAGGATACCTTTCAGCATTTCATATAATCCTGGTTTGGTGGTGATGAACTCCTTTAGCTTTTCCTTATCTGTGAAGCTCTTTATCTGACCTTCAATTCTGAATGATAGCTTTGCTGGATAAAGTAATCTTGGTTGTAGGTTCTTGGTATTCATCACTTTGAATATTTCTTGCCACTCCCTTCTGGCCTGCAAAGTTTCTGTTGAGAAATCAGCTGACAGTCGTATGGGTATTCCCTTGTAGGTAACTGGGTTTCTTTCTCTTGCTGCTTTTAAGATTCTCTCTTTATCTTTTGCTCTTGGCATTTTAATTATGATGTGTCTTGGTGTGGTCCTCTTTGGATTCCTTTTGTTTGGGGTTCTCCGCGCTTCTTGGACCTGTAAGTCCATTTCTTTCACCAGGTGGGGGAAGTTTTCTGTCATTATTTCTTCAAATAGGTTTTCAATATCTTGCTCTCTCTCATCTTCTGGCACCCCTATAATTCTGATGTTGGTACGCTTGAAGCTGTCCCAGAGGCTCCTTACACTATCCTCGCATTTTTGGATTCTTTTTTCATTTTGCTTTTCCGGTTGGGTGTTTTTTGCTTCCTCGCATTTCAAATCATTGACTTGATTCTTGCGCTCCTCTGGTCTGCTGTCGAGAGTCTGTATAATATTCGTTATTTCAGTCCATGTATGCTTAATTTCTAGTTGGTTCCCCAATATAAGATCGAGGGTCTTATTAGTTTTCTTGTAGATCTCATTAAGTTTATCGGCGGCTTCTAAACAGTTCTTGAGAGACCTTAAAAGTGTGGTTCTGAACTCTATATCTTCCATTGACAATTTTGTCCTGTTTCTTTGTCTCCGCATTTTGTTATGCTTCCTTGGTGCACCCCCTAGTGGTCTTTGTTCACAGTCTTATAGTTAAATCTTGATTGTTGTAGCTAATTCCAGGGAGGGTTTGACCTCCAGGCCAAGTGGCTATGAGAATCAGCTGTGTCAGCAGTGAGAGAACTTCTGTCCTCTAGGGAGGTGCTAATCTGGCGTTTGCCTGAGGCTATCCGGCAAATGCCTGTGTGCAGGGCTTGGGCGGGGCGGGTCGCACAGGATCAACAGGGTGGGCCGGAGAGAGC